AACCACATAACACCAACCACATAACACAATTTATTATCTGACGGTAAAAGTTTATCTAGTTAAGACCATGCAATTTTGTATTTTAGTAAAAAAGAACAATTTTTGTGCTTCATTTTATACTGATGTTTAAAAAAAACTCAGTAAAGGACCCTTTCCACTCCTTCAGGCATATTGGGCATATAAGGCTAAACCTATATTTGATAGACCAGTTGGTACTTTGATGTAGTCAGCATCACACCAGCCACCTTTACTTCCCAGGACTCCAGCTAGTACACATATTGATGTAACTCTATAGTACAGCCAAATTTGTCAGGCAATAAATTGTTGAATGTATTGTTTTGTGTCTGCATAATTTGTTTTTTTAAATTACTTCCATGCACAAACTCAACACACACAAACTGTCTCTGCATAAACATATGAGGAGCATACAACACTGATGTATGCAGGCTTTACCGTAAATAAAAAGGGCACTGATGTAATGATTTCTGTGGCAAGCTCCAGGGATAAGATCTGCTGCAGGATATTCCCCTAAACAAGCACAAAAATAAAAGTGACATTTTCTTTTTTGTTCAGAACAATCAGTAATCAATATTATATGTTTGTATACAAAGATATTAGGCCAGGAAACATTCCTGAAATGTGACGAATAGTTTTTTATCTGTCAATGTGATTAAGTTATTTTGACATCTAAACATAATTAGTACAAGTAGTTTTAACAAAAATATCCTTTTTAACCCTCTGGGTTACAACTGTGATATAAAGTTTTCATTAAGTTTTCGTCAAGCTCTCAAAGTATATATATATATATATATATATATATATATATATATATATATATATATATATAATATATATATATATATATATATATATATATATATATATATTACAATAAAATTACCAAGATGTATCTGCAATGTCGTTCTACGTCTATCATCTGATGATGCGATTAGAAGAGAACCATTTACTGAACTACAGGCAACTTTTGAGTAAATATTCGGTTGGCACATAGGCTAAAACTGAGATGGAGAGATTATTATTCATCTGACTTAATCAAAAGTGGGTTGCATGTTGATGAGTATATTAATTTCAGGCTGTAAATGTCAATAATACCAATCATGGAAAATTTGTAATTTTACCCTCAACAATTACTGGAGGTCCACGAAACATGCCTGAATATGCTCAAGATGCCATCACATACATTCATCATGAAGGCAAGCCATCACTACTCCTAGCATACATCTTCAATCCAAATTGCAAAGAGCTGGAGCAAAATTTGTTCAATGGCCAATAAACAAACTGACTGACATGATTTGGAAACTAGGACCTTTCAACAAAAGATGATCAAATTAATGAATGTGCCGATAAAATGGTCAAGTTTTTGATACCGTTAAATATTGGTTATACTCCATCAAATGGCAGGAATTATGACTTCCACATTCCCACATTTTGATTTGGCTAACAAATTTGTTACAATCCAACCAAATTGATGATATTATTTCAGCAGAAATTCCTGATCATTGCTTAGACAAACATCTTTATGACATCGTTATTAAAAGTATGGTCCATGGCCCGTGCAGAGCTTTCAATAAGTTGACACCATGCATGAAAGACAGAACATGCAACAAATGGTATCCATGTCAAATCATCAGAGAAATGCAATTTATAACTGATGGCTATCTATTCCATAGGAAGCCATAAGACAGTGGACATACAGCAATTGTGAAAATAAAGTCTGACAATGTCGGGATTGATAATCGTTGGATCGCCTCATAAGTCTGAAGATGTTTGATGCCATCGTCAATGCTGAAATGCTGCATCTCAGTAAAGTTTATTAACTACATTCTCAAGTATTTTCAGAAGATTTATCCAGTGATTTATCCCCTCCAGTTTCGCTCACAAAATGTTCCCATTTAGCCTTTTTTGCATCTGTTGCACACTGCTTGAACTCATCTACTTTTTCTTTTGTAACTCTTTCTAGCATCTTGACATCCTCTTGTAACCTGTCAGTTGTCTTTTGCACTGTCTGTAATTGTTTAAATGCTGCTCGCTGTTCTACTTCTTGTGTCCACCATGGAGGCTACACAAAAGCAATCAACCAAACAAAAGTTAACCAAATATAAGTATAACTGCCAAGAAACAGATTACAAACAGCAAATTCAAGTTTGGTGCTGTGCTACCAGTGCCAAAACTAGAACAGTGTCAAATGCTAACCTACACAAAACACCTTCCCTAACACCTGTGAAATAAGATGCCTGAGGAAAGCTGCTAATTTAGCCATCTAAGGCAAAGTGGAAATGATACTTTCATACAGACTGTGGGAACAACACTGATAACAATAGACTAAAATTAATGCCTACATCATCATGATAGGAGCTAAACTCAGAGTCAACATACATAAACACCCAACTGTTGCATCGAAAACACAATGAAATAAATGAAGGAAATAATTAATCAAGAACTGTCAATATTTAACATCCCAAAAGTGCTTTGTCCAGTCCTTCAGTAGCTAATCAATAGCTAACAGCCACCATATTTACAAGAAATTCAGCATTCCAACATTCAAATCTATTGACTGTAACATTCCAACATCCAAATCTATTGATTCATACTAGAGACAACATTGCAGATATAGATAATTTATTTCAAGTGAACGAAAGAAGAAAAAGAAGAAATCTGTTGACTGTAACATTTCAACATCCAAATCTGTTGTCTGTAAGAGTTCAACTTTTAAATCTGTTTACTGTAACATTTCAACATTTAAATGTGTTGATTCAACATTCAAAGCTGATAATCACAAAGGCACAACGATTGCACACACAGACAGACAGACACCTCTCGTACATTTATTACAAAACTACTGATTTACTTTATAGCTGAGATACTGCACCAAGATTGTTTCTGCAAGACAGACAATAGCAACACTGAGCTGGCAGATCCACACCCCTTCATGTCTTTCAATCCAAATGATGGCATTCCTGTTAGTTATATATAAAAACACAAGTTGACATTTGTAAGCAAGATTAATCGTTCCTTAAAAACCATTAGTAAAAACTAAAGAGTACTTTTTATGTCTTTTAAAACGGCTAAAACATGTCCCTTTTGTCTCTTTTTATTTCCTTCAGCTACTCTCTTGTAGTTCATGTCTTTTCAGAAACATTTCCAGTTTTAAAACATAATTTAATGTTTGAGTTCTCTCCATGCTGCATACCTAACAAAGCAACTCTCACTAGCTGAATAAAATGGCAGGTTATTTGTCACCTGGTTACCAAACAGTGTTGCAGTTTGGCCGAATCATAGATGGGTGGTGCCTGTGTATGTGGCATGCCTTGCAGCCTGGATGGTGTCTTTGTCTTGGCCATAACAAAATCAGTCTCATTATTTAATGGCTGGTCTGTGTATGAGATATTAGGAAACTGCATCTGCTACTACATATTCTTCTTTGACATTTCATGTCTTTGAGGTTCACTGCTGCAGATTTCATCCACCTCCATTCATATCTCAAGTTGGCCTTCTCTTTCTAGCCGGTAACACCAAGTGTTTGTAGGTCTGCTTGGATATTATCTCTGCCTAATCTTATTGGTCTGCCTCATGATCTACAACCATTCAGCTCTCTTGTGTTCACAGTTTTCACCACTCTGTTATCTGACATTCTCTCAGTAGGCACCAGCCATTTCAGTCATTTAGCCTTCACGCTGCTAGCAATCAGTGGTGATTTAAACAGATAATGAATATTGTTACTGCCTCTCATTCTCCACTCTCAGCTGCCTGTATCTTTGATGGGTCCAAATATTCCTCATAAGACTTTGTTTTTAAAAACTTGTAACAAGGCCTTATCCCTTTTAGTTGTGCTCCATGTTTCACAGCCATATAAAACAACTGGTCTTATCAGTGTTTTACATATTTTGATCTTGGTGTTATGAGACAGAGACTTTGATTTTAGCAGATGTTGTAGGACATAGTATACTTTATTTCCAGAATGTGTTCTAGATTGTATTTCTTCTCTTAATACCTTGGAGCAGTTGAAGTTAGCACCCAATTTCTTATATGTTTCCTTTCATTTCTTGCAATCTACTATAGCTTTCTTTAATTTCTTATATATTTCTATATGTTTTATCAATTGTCCTACAAGAGACTGACAGTTATAGTGTGTTAATGCAAGCAATAATCACTTTAAAAAATAGAAAAACTGATCAGATAATTCAAGTTTGCCACTTCACTTTCTGTTGATAATTACCAGTTGATTTCCTTATCACTGGGATCTGGAGTATTGCAGCTGGTTGCATTCGTCTGTTCATTTTCTCTTTCTCTGTTAAAACAAAGATTTAAACAAGTGAGAAACAAGGTTTCCATGTATCAATACTTGTTAAATTGCAAGAAACACTTATGCGTGTTAATAACAAACTTCAGTGTAAATTTAAAGAAAATAAATTTGTCAAGTTCCTATTTTTTTTTTTTTCTGTTTGGTGATTCTCGCTCGGTTAAGGATGTGTGCAATATAGCACCATCTTTCCTGTCTTATAACAGGTGGTTCCATCTATTAATCCCCCCCCCCCCCCCCTCCTTGATTTCATCCAATTTTATGTTCATCATTAAAAAAAAAATTTTTCAGCCAAGTAGTGTGCAAGTGTGGCCACTGAGTTAGCAGAGATGTGAATTTTGGTAGCAAATTTTTTACACATTGGGGGGGGGGGGGGGGGGGGGGGGGGGGGGTGGCTGGCCTATTCCCAACTCTCCTCCTTTCTTATCCGGGCCTGTGACTGGCAATGGTCGAGATTAACATATCTATGAATACTAAAAAATAATTACAATAAATGGAACCAATGCACTTGGAACATTCCCATACACGCTCCGTCCCCTTCCTCAGTCGCAAATGCTGAAT